TCTTGGATCGCGCCTCGCTTCCGCTGCACGGCGACGCGACCTCTCTCTTCGCACTCTCCACAGCAGCGTCCTCTATAAGGTATATACTACCCATGAGGTATACCGATGTACCAAACCTTGCGATTTCATTTTCAAACGCCGTGGAGTCGACCTCGCAACCTGGTGGCGCGGGCCAAGAGAAAAAATGGAATTTTTTAAAAAAAAGTGTTCCGTACACTTGGTGTTGAGTGGTGCTTCTCCGCACAACCTAGCCTGTAAAAGCCACAAGACTGTAGAATGGAAACCATTCGAGAATTGTGTTTGCTGATTACAAGGCGTCGGGTCGTACCAAGCAAAGCACCGAATTTCAACCGCCAGTGTACGAAGCACGCCGGAAGTGTTTTTCCAACACTTGCCAAGTCTAACAGCAACGTTTGACAATGTCAAAACGGTCTTTGGTTGTTTAAACCAAAAACGTCCTGGATATCCCCGGGAGGATGCCAGCCATGTTTTCTTTCGTAATTTTGTCCCGATATAGCTACAATCTGGATCTAAAATCAGGTCGTTTCGTGTTCCCCACGTAGGATTTGCAGCAGACAGCCGATCGACTTCCGGGCAAGCTTCTATACTTTCTGGAAGGTCCTTCCGCAACGCATAATGACGTGGCACCCGCATTAGTCACATAGACTGTACGTGGCAGCGTGCAAGGATCGCCGCCGAGACCCAATGGCTGAGAAGCAAGTACCCCAGGCGATTCGTACACGATGGCGCGGTATCATGCTCTAGGAACCAGTCGAAGAGCTTTGAGTGGACTAGTACGTAGTATTGCCTTGCATCCAAGCTTCTCTGCAAAGGAGAGCAAACACATACTAGTATATCAAGAAAACTGTATTTTTCATCAGCACAGGCTCAAAAGCTGCTCCTAAATGTCGCACAGCTGGTACATGTACTGCCGCCTTGACAAACGTCGTCTGGATTTGCACCAAGAAAAGCTGGAGCGCGACGCCACTCTTGATGACCAAGATCTAGAGCGTCAGAGATTCGGACCCTTGACGTAGCTGAGGGGGCGGTCGATAGCGACCCTAAAATGGGCGCTGATGTTGATGGGTCTGCATGCACGCGGGCGACGCCAGCTGCACACGCTCGCCGAAACCGGCCGAGCGATCTGGCGCGCCACGGGCGTATTGTTCACTTGAGCGTGCTAGTACGCAGAAACGCTTCAAGGCCCTTGCCCGAGGCATGCGCGTAATGGCTTGGGCGTTGGACAAAGATATAGGTGTCGAGCGAAAGCGCAGCACGGAAGCACCTACGCGACTTGACCTTGAGCACACTTTCTGGATTGAGCTGCGTCTTGAGCAAGGACGGAATGACCTCGGCAAGACAGAGGCAGACGCCCGAAAACATGCTGGCTCATCGGATTGTAGCCCACCGGCTGGATCGGAACGACCTTGGGCATGACGCCGCATTCGCCATCGATTTCGCCAAGTGTGCGACGGTCTCCTTCTCGACGTGCTTGCCCAAGAACTCTTGTGTGATGAGCATGAGCGGCTTGAGGATCGAGCGCAGCGTCGTGGGGTGTTGAAGGTGACGCGCTTCCACATCTCGAGCGCTTCTGGCGCACGCTGCACGGCGTAGTCGAGCGCGCCATGATACGCGACGCGAGGACGGCGTCGCAGTACAGCTTGTCGAGGATCTTGAGCGTCGGCTTCAACGCCATTGCCATCGGCGGCTAACGTGACAACCACATTAGTGCTGTGGACACAGTGCACCAAACCGCCGAGGAGCGAGATCGACGAGTGACACATGCGCCACGCGTCAAAGGAGCTGCCTCAAGCGACGCCAAGAGGTCCGTCGTGTTGGAGAGCGCGCGGGCGTTGGCAGCGATGAAGCCGGCGTGCATGGCCACAGTCGCAGACGATGTCCGACTCGTCCGAGATACCAGCGACAATCATCGGGAGCGCCTTGCCAAAGTACTTGGAGAAATTGTTGCCAGCCGGATGAAGGCGCACCCAGAGAACTCCTCCGAGGTCAACGAGCGCAGAGTGCGCGGACGCTGTGGTGCATGTCGTCAACGCCAAACGAGAGACAAAGCGCATGACAGCGCGCGCGAGGGCATCGCCGTCTTTAGCGCCGTCTCCATACATGACAAGACCATCGACAGACGTCGCATGGCGCACACGACTGGAGACCGAGCTTGGCCTCCGCGTTACCGGCACGTGCGACAAGAAAGCTGACTGCACGCCTTGGAGCGTCGACGCCATCGTGTCTGAAAACGGCTTGATGATCTTGGCCAACACGGCCGCGTCGACAACGGAGGCACGCATCGCTAGCAAGCTCGTACGACGAGCCTCCTCCAGCGTCAAGGGCGTCCCACGACACGGATGCGCGGCACGAACCAGAGGATCGGACCACCGTGGGCAGCGTCGACGGCGTCACTGAGAGGTTCTCAACTCGACTTTGCCCTGCAAGGCTGAGAGGCGTGGACGCGACGCACATGTCGGGGTGCGTGGGGCCGCCGATGGAACCATCCGCACACATCGAGCTCGGCTTCGACGCCACGCGGTAGTGCAGGCTGGACAAGCTCTGACGAGTGCGCATCCGAAACGCGAGGTGCACGGCCTCGCGCACGCAGTGGGTTCTGCTGCTAGCGAGTCGCGAGGTCTTTCTGGGGCCATCTTCTTCGTCGCATTCGGTCGGCGGCGAGCACGCGCTCGTCCTCGGGCATGGCATATTGTAGAGTCGTCCGAGACGTTGGCGCCTGGACGACGTGGCTTAAACCTTGTCGCACGCTCTTGCCGGCAAACGTCCGAAGCGTCACGAGAGCTCGCCATCTTGTTTTCAATTTCGTGGCGCGAGGGCATCTTTGCGAGCAAACGAGGCCTCCATGCTCGTTACGCTGCTCTTCGAGGGGTCGATGCGCACAGCGAGTGGGCGATAAATGGGCTCGAAACGGCGCCGGAATAGCGCACGCGTCTCGGCCTCGGACAAAAGATGCGCCGACATCCTCAGCCTTGCGCTTGGTCCATGACGGCGTCAGCGTCGGACACGCCATCGCCCCGAAGGGTCGTCCAACGCTTCGCACGGGCGCAGTGGCTCAAACCTCGTGCACTACAGGCACCTGGATCCTCTGTGAGACACACGTGACGAAAAGGACAGTGTACCTCGTGTCAGACGCGATCAAGCGGCGCGTCGATACCACAAGCATCGAGGACACGCTCGCGTTGACGCCGCGGCCTCGGGTGCATCCTGGCGAGTGTCAAGCGTGCGGGTCGTCGACGAGCACGGCCTCTACCAGACGGCGTGGGCGTCGAGAGCTACAGTAGAGATCGGGGATGAGGCGACGTTGGGCGAGAGGATTGCGGCGGACAGTGCATGTTGTTGCTGCGCTGCCAGCTATCGTGCGGTGACTGCCATGTGCGAGCGGCAAGGCACGCTGCGGAAGGTGGTCGAGGTTGTAAGCATGCGGCTCAGTGCTATCAGACGTTGCGCGCGCTCCGAGCTCGACGCGCAGCTTCGTCTGCCCCTTCGGCCGCAGCGTCCTGTCTCGTCGTCGTCGCCGTGGCATTTTGGATCACTGGCTGGCATCCGGATCATGTCCGGATAATTTGTCGAGATCTGGGGTCAAGGAATTGGGTCGAGGCCATCGTCCGCATTCCTCATTTCCGTGCTCGAGGTTGTCTCTGTCGGCATCTGTCTCGGTAGACTTGATAATTTATACCTCGCAGCGCGTAGATGCCCAACGTAAACGCAATTGCGTTTTCTGCCGCTAAACGGCCCCGTTGGCTGCAACCCATAGCTGCAAGCGGTTTCCATCAAATGACCTCTTGGCCGCACGAGCTTAGTTCCACCGTCCACAATCGAGAGGACGTCCGCTTGCCGTACGACCGACGCCGTGGAGCGCACTTTGCGGCGTGAACAATGCTCGAGGTTGCTGTCATTCTCTTGTACAAGCACTGCGTATCGCCTTGGCCGTGCTTGTTTGACCTACACGACTAAATGTTTGCGTAGAAAGAAGACATACTGAGGCGGCAACGTGCCTGCTCTGTTGATCTTACCGCACTTGGTGGCAATCGGTACAAGAGCTGCGCGCCACGGACCCGATATCGCGCGCACCCGATAGCTCCGTCCGACTTTGGCATGCACATTGGCGTGTCTGGGAACGTTGTTTGGATGCGTCATCAGAGCGCGCGCGAGCTTGGGCAAAGAAGAGCCGCGCGTGATTCAAGCATCGGAATCAAAACGTTGTGTGCGTTCGATTGCAACCAGTATCACATTATTTAAAGCAAATTAGACAGAGCATCATCCTTAATAGTGTGAGAACTATTGATCAAGATGGCGATTATCAGACCACAGACGCGTCAACACGACGTAGGAGATATGAATATCTCTCTAGACACTCACTGAATGGTGTACATGTCGTTTCCGACGCTGGACGCGGCGTTCTCATGCGCAAATCCAATTTCTTACTTTTTGGAGGTGGCGCGAAAAATGTCCAAAAATTATACTAGTACACGTTATCGCAGGGTTTGAGAGCTCCATGGACCCCAATTCAACCAGCCACAGTTGGCAATGGATCTCGACACGGGCTGCGATCATTTCGTTGGGCCGCGTAGTTGCTTGGGCGCTCACACAAAACTCAAACTGCCGAGCGTCGGTTTTCCCAAAATGCAGCACGATATTTCGATCGAATATAGGTTGAAATCGCGGGAACTGAGGACGCCATCTCTTTTTGTTGATGTTGAAGGGCGTGTTGCATGTGGCCGAGGGAGGCATTGCGCCCGCAATATGCTGCGTGATGAGGCCCTGACTACGCCGTACAGTATTTCGGTGTAGCAAAAAACACTATATTCTTTTTGCTCACCGCAGTGATTCCCAGGTCATTCATTCCCTTTCGCTACAGATCTCGAACGGCGACACCACATAGCATTTTGAACTGTCCGAAGTGTGGTCTACCACTTTGGCAAGTATGTGCGACTTTATTTTCAAACTTGATTTTGGTCGATCCGCCGACGCGGCACGGCTGCGTTCGTCCAAATGTGACCTATATACATGAACGTGTTTCGCGTTATCTTCGCTGTTACAAAGAGTTCGCATACGTAGAGACTAGCTATCTCCTTCTTCTTCATTCGCCGGGCCGTGGCTGCGCAGCCGGTAAATGTGGTCTTTATGGCTGAAAAAGCGGGCACCAATAACAACGACCCGCGACGCCTAAAAGACAACGCAGAGGCTCCTGGGGCACCACTGACGTTGCTGCGTTGTGCTTGAGGGGAATCTATCAACATACTCTACGCACACGCCATCACGAGGTATGGTTCCGTCGCCATGCGACCATTTCTGGAACTCGCGTGCCCTGGCACAATACGCAATCTTCGTCGCCTTGGGCCAAGATGCGCATGCCCTCTTGCACGTGCACACTACGGACTCTTGCATCTCGAGCTGTCTGGCCGCGGCGCTTAGGCTCGTCGGGGCCGTCTGCACAGGCTCCGTCGAGGCAGCGGGCGGGAGCGTCGTTGAGGCCGCGGGACTAGCCTCTTTTCAGTCGGTATACGACGCAATGCATCTAACTGCAGGCCAACTTTGAAAAGTAATCGCTTAGGAATTCGATTTTCTCGGCCTTAATTCACGAGTGTTTGCCGCAGAAGTGGCTTGGCGATCCGCCCACACCTTTACTAGAAGTTCAGGCAATTCTCGAGCTGCCCCTTCGAAACCGGCGACAAGACGTTTGCATCACAAAAATCAATAATAGAGGTATTGTCTGAGGATAACAATACAACGAGACACATATGCACATCCCGTAGGTTTACGAATATTTCCGGCAATCTGCATCGGCGCCTCAAGCCCCAGCGCAACTTTTTGTTCCGCAAATCGGAGATATGTTCCATGCAAGGCAGTGGTTTGACTTGGTTTTTGTATGGGATGCGCTCACATTCCTCACGTTTACGGATACATCTGGAATATTCACTTGCAATTTGTATTGGCCGTCCTCCCTGCGTCTCCTCCGCCCGACGCAGTATACGTAGATACGAGGTTTCAGTGTATAGTAGTGCACCACTGTGAAGGGCATCGGATGCATACCGCAGTCGACACGTGAGGGCAGCCTTTGGATGCATTTGGTAAAGGTTTAAAGCGAAGAAGAAAGTTTGGTGAAAGGAAGGCGCCACCATGAATCCAATCGGCTATCTTAATTCGAATTGCTGGGCGAGCGCTTGCGCTTGCTTGAGAGCAGGCGCGAAATCTGCGCGCTGAGCTCCTCATCATTGACGAATCCAAGCCATTTTGTGAGTCGCTCGCCAGTGACCGTCCCGTCGGTTGCCCAGAGATGTCCGATCACGAGTGCTAGGGCCCAGTCGACGACCTCGCCCGCCGACTGCAAAGTCGTAGTGCGCGCCGCCAAGCTCGGAGCCATCGGGACCGTTTCGTGGGTCTTTCGTCCTTGGTTCGTGAGCTCGGGTGTGATCAACTGGAGCATCCTTGCGCGGCGGCGGCCTGGCAACGCAATAAGGTCCAGAAGAAATACCATGTTGCCGAGGTGGTTGGTTGCGTCCATGCAGTATGGCAGTAGGAGTCTGCTCGCCGTCACGTGCTGTCGACGACCCGCAAGCTTGATGAGACAGTCGCGAGGCTTGCCGATGCCTGCCGCGAGGAGGTACCGGGTCGTTCCGGTGTGGTGGTGCCTCGACGCCTCCAAAAGCAGCTTGTAATTCTTTCGGAGCGCTGGGTGACGCCGCAGGATCTGCAATACGACCTCTAGGTTGCCGGCGCGCACTGCCGCCAGTAAAACTGCGTTGGAGGCGCTGACCGTAGAATTGGCCAAGAGAAAGTGTACAACGTCCCACGCGCTGCGCTGGATCGCCGCCTCGAGCGCTTGAGGGCTATAGCAAGCGGTCGAGTGCTCGTGGAGGAACCGAACCAAGAGCAGGTTGTTCTCGGCGCATGCACTTTGCATCCACTTGCCGTCCAAGGACCCGCCATTGTCGATGAAGAGACGTAGGAGACGAGGCATACTCGGCTGGCTAAATGCCGTTTTTTCCAACGGACGTGCGAGGTCGGGCAGGGGTACCCGAGCGATAGCAAGTACTCTGCCACTTGCAAATGCCCATACTCGAGCGCGCATCGAACGACAACGTCGCGGGTGCAACCTTCGCGTCGGTTCGTCAAGAGGAACTGGATGACACCCAGATGACCGCCCATCACGGCTTTGTCGACGGCGTTAACAGTGCAGCCAAACGAGCCGCGAGAATGGAGGTACTGAACGACGTCGAGGTGACCAAAAGTCGCAGCCAAGTCGAGAATATCGGGCGATGCACCTTCGGTTCGGTGCTCAACGAGGAAGCGGACGACGTCGAGGTGTCCATGGCGAATCGCGCCGTCGAGCGCATCGACCGTGCAGCCTTCCGTGCGAGCTGCGTGGAGGAACTCAACGACCTCGAGATGCCCGTTGGTCGCCGCTTGGCTCATGGCCTTATCCGTACAGCCTTCGCTGCGATGCGCATGCAGAAATCGAACGACGTCGAGATGGCCGTTTCCAGCCGCCTTGTCCATGGCGTCTGTCGAGCACTTGACACCGCGTTCGTGAAGAGCTTGAACAAGAGAGAGGAAGCCTCGTCCTGCGACGTCGTCCAAGACGGAGTGGTCGTGGAGCCACGGAAAACAGTCCAGCGCTAGCGTTGCGTTTTGGAGCGTCGCGCTGTGGAACGCAGACTTGATGTCGTTCAGAACAAAGTCGTCAGGATTGGGCTAAAAGCGCTGAAGCAACAGGACACCCCGCGTGTCCTCGCTTCTCAAGACAGCGTGCAAGACACGTCCGAGAAGGTACGAGGCACTCCACGCCGAGTCATCTATGCCACGATGTGCGTCATCCGCTGGCAATGACGCTCGGAGCAGTAGCGTACCTGTGCCTCTCTTGGGACAACCGGAAGTGGCGCGTCGCTGCTTCAAGAGAAGCTCTGCGATCTCGAGGCGATTCTTATGCAAGGCCAGCAGGATCGCGTCGTCGGACGCGAGGTCCGGGCGGCAACGCAGCATGCGCTGGGCGAGGTGCTCGCAGCCATGAGCGATGGCGAGGTGCAGCGGCAGGCGGTCGTCGCGCTGACGCATGTGCAGAGCGCAGTCGGTGGGCTTCCACTGCGTAAGACCTATGGCGTCTGGGCCAGACGCCATAGGCGCCAGACGGTCTGGCGCGAACGTCGAATGGAAGGAAGCGTCGCAGTCGTAGACGTTGTGCACGGCGTCGAACTCAACGAGGTCGTTGCAGGCGCGGAAGACCGGGCGCACGTCTGCGTACACGCCAAACTGAAACTCAAACACAATGGCCGCAAGCTCGGGCAGCGCGAGTAGCACGCTGTGAAAGGTCGATGCCATCGCCTCGCACCTTTTTCCGCTGGATTTCAAATTTAGTTCAGTGTAACGTTGCTGGGGCGTATCCGGATACGTCGATTTGATCCAAGTGGCAGAGCGGTTTTGAGGCCTTCGTCCTTCAGGCTCCGAGCGCTCCCCATGACAGGATGGCTCTCAACACGGTCCCTCGAAGAGTGCTGCCAGGAGCGACGTGGTCGCTACATGTATACACGATGCAAAGTACGGCGTGTCAAAGTCGTCATTGGATTGTTCACGTTTTCAGAGCGCTTTGTATCTTTAGTCGAGCATTGCGTGCGTTGTAGGACGATGGAGGCAACGTAGCGCGGCCTGCTCTGCTCTCCAAAGTGTCTTCTATCAATGTGCCAACTATAGGCGAATCCATTTCAGACATGATGTCGTTGACCAAATGGCGTCGGCGTCCTGGAGTGGTGCCTCTAAGATTGCACTACGATCTTAGTTTGGCATTTACGATGAGTATAGGATCGCGCCTCACTGCTGCTCTACGCCTCGCACGACGACGCGCCTGCGCATTCCGAGCTCTCCAAAGCGTCCTCTACCAATGTGCCCAGTCTTGGCGAGTTCATTTCCAACCACGATGTTGTCGACCTGGCCTGGCGATAAGTTCGATGGCGTTGGCCAAGAAAAAGTATGAGAAGTGTTGTGCCACACCACTTCCAATCTCTACCGGTCAATCAAGTTGTCAATAATTGCCTTCCTCGAGCGTCGTAAAAAGCGACATCAAATTGTTCCAACAAATTGTGTCCGCTGAAGCTTGTATAGCGCGGGTCTGGCACTTGCAATTTCGGTCGACTAAATCGTACTCGGGCGCTCGAGTTGCAAGTGGTCGAGGTGCGCCTTTCTCGGGCACAAGGCGCACCAGCTCTTGCGCGCCATCGATCGAGGTACGATGGACCCAGCGAACGCGAGTCCACGCTCGCCAACGACCAAGCGAGCGCGCCATGAACGCGACGGGCCCGTGACGACGCACGCGGCCTCGCACGAGCAGTGGCGCTGCTCGAGTATCTCGAGGTCGTTGCGCTTCTCGTCGCTTGCCCTTGTAGTTGGCATGACTCCTGGGCGTTCGTCGTGACCGAGGTTTCGCGGCCACGTGCGTCTGGACGAGCTTGCTCTATACGAGCGCCTCAGCGTGCTTAGCGCCACAAGAGCGGTCGATCGCAGCGCAGAGCGTCGCCTCGGGGTAGGCTCAAGCCGCGTCCAAGAGATCGGCGCGCTCTCATTGTTTTTAGACTACGGCACATGCTATTTGAATTGGTGCGGCAAATGCCACATTTAAATATGACGTGGCGTCACACCCGTCGAGGCGTCAAGGGTGGCCGCGCCCGTGCAGCTCACGCAAATTATGATCCGTGGCTCAATATCCTGCATCAATATACCATCCACGAAGTGGAGCCCGGCGAATGCCGGCTTGAGTCCATCTCCGAGCTCTCCATTGCCAAAACGAAACACTGGCAGCTCTCTCTCGTCTTTGATATGGTATTTCATCG